TTTTCCTCTAAAAGTATTATAGTGTCTGGTCTTACATTTAAGTCTTTAATCCATTTGGAGTTTATTTTTGTGTATGGTGTTAGGGAGTGTTCTAATTTCATTCTTTTACATGTAACTGTCCAGTTTTCCCAGCATCACTTATTGAAGAGGCTGTCTTTTCTCCATTGTATGTTCTTGCCTCCTTTGTTGTAAATTAGGTGCCCATATGTGCGTGGGTCTATCTCTGGGTATTCTGTCCTATACCATTGATCTATATTTCTGTTTTTGTGCCAGTACCATACTGTCTTGATTACTGTAGTTTGTAGTATGGTTTGAAGTCACAGAGTCCTCCAACTCCATTTTTCTTTCTCGAGATTGCTTTGGCTATTTGGGGTCTTTCGTGTTTCCATACGAATTGTAAGATTTTTTGTTCTAATTCTGTGAAGAATGCCATGGGTAGTTCGATAGGGGTTGCACTGAATCTGTAGATTGCTTTGGGTAGTGTAATCATTTTCATAATATTGATTCTTCCAACCCAAGAACATGGTATATCTCTCCATCTGTTTATGTCCTCTTTGATTTCTTTCATCAGTGTTTTATAGCTTTCTGAGTACAAATCTTTCTCCTCCTTAAGCAGGTTTATTCCTAGATATATTATTCTTTTTGTTGCAGTGGTAAATGGTAGTGTTTCCTTAATTTCTCTTTCTGATTTTTTGTTGCTGGTGTATAGGAATGCCAGCGATTTCTGCATTAATTTTGTATCCTGCAACCTTACCAAATTCATTGATGAGTTCTAGTAGTTTTCTGGTGGCATCTTTAGGATTTTCTATGTATAGTATCATCCTATCAGCAAATAGTGACAGTTTTACATCTTCTTTTCCAATTTTTATTCCTTTTATTTCTTTTTCTTCTCTGATTGCTGTGGCTAGGACTTCCAAAACTATGTTGAATAAGAGTGGCGAGAGTGGACAACCTTGTCTTGTTCCTGATCCTAGTGGAAATGCTTTCAGTTTTTCACCATTGAGTATGATGCTTGCTGTGGGTTTGTCATATATGGCCTTTATTATGTTGAGGTAGGTTCCCTCTATGCCCATTTTCTGGAGATTTTTATCATAAATCGGTGTTGAATTTTGTCAAAAGCTTTTTCCGCATCTATTGAGATGATCATATGGTTTTTATTCCTTGATTTCTTAATGTGGTGCATCACATTGATTGATTTGCATATATGGAAGAATCCTGGCATCCCTGAGATAAATCCCACTTGATCATGGTGTATGATCCTTTTAATGTGCTGTTGGATTCTGTTTGCATATCTTGTTCAGGATTTTTGCATATATGTTCATCAGTGATATTTATTGGTCTATAATTTTCTTTTTTTGTGGTATCTTTTTGTGGTTTGGGTATCAGGGTGATGGTGGCTTCATAGAATGAATTTGGGCATGTTTCTCCCTCTGCAAGTTTTTGGAAGAGTTTGAGAAGGATTGGTATTAGCTCTTTTCTATATGTTTGATAGAATTTGCCTGTGAAGCCATCTGATCCTGGACTTTTGTTTGTTGGAAGATTTTTAATTACAGTTTCAATTTCATTACTTGTGATAGGTCTGTTTATATTTTCTAATTCTTCCTGGTTCACTCTTGGAAAATTGTACCTTTCCAAGAATTTGTCCATTTCTTTGTGGTTGTCCATTTTATTGGCATATAGTTGTTTGTAGTAGTCTCTTATAATCCTTTGTATTTCTGCAGTGTTAGTTGTGATTTTTCCTTTTTCATTTCTAATTTTATTCATTTGCATCCTCTCCCTTTTTTTCTTGATGAGTCTGGCTAATGGTTTATCAGTTTTGTTTATCTTCTCAAAGAACCAGCTTTTAGTTTTATTGATCTTTGCTATTGTTTTCTTCATTTCTGTTTCATTTATTTCTGCTCTGATCTTTATGATTTCTTTCCTTCTACTGACTTTGGGTTTTCTTTGTTCTTCTCTAGTTGTTTTAAGTGTAGGGTTAGATTGTTTATTTGATATTTTTCTTGTTTCTTGAGGTGAGATTGAATTGCTATCAACGTCCCTCTTAGAACTCTTTTTGCTGCATCCCATAGGTTTTGGGTCGTCGTGTTTTCATTGTCATTTGTTTCTATGTATTTTTTAATTTCTTCAGTGATCTCTTGGTTATTTAGTATCAATTAGATCTGTCTGATCTGTTGTGTCATTTAAAGCTTGTGTTTCCGTATTTATTTTCTGTTAGGATGATCTGTCCATTGGTGTAAGTGGGGTTTTAAAGTCCCCTCCTGTTTTTGTGTTACTGTCAGTTTCTCCTTTCATGGTTGTTAGCATTTGCCTTATGTATTGGGGTGCTCCTGTGTAGAGTGCATAAACATTTATAATTGTTATATCTTCTTCTTGGATTGATCCTTTGACCATTATGTAGTGTCCCTCCTTATCTCTTGTAACAGTCTTTTTTAAAGTCTATTTTATCTGATATGAGTATTGCTACTCCAGCTTTCTTTTGATTTCCACTTGCATGGAATATCTTTTTCCAACCATTCACTTTCAGTCTGTATGTGTCCCTAGGTCTGAAGTGGGTCTCTTGTAGACAGCATATATATGGTTCTTGTTTTTGTATCCATTCAGCCAGTCTGTGTCTTTTGGTTGGGGCATTTAATCCATTTACATTCAAGGTTATTATTGATATGTATGTTCCTATTACCATTTACTTAATTGTTTTGGGTTTGTTTTTGTGGGTCTTCTTCTCTTGTGTTTCCTGCTTAGAGAAGTTTCTTTAGCATTTGCTGTAAAGCTGGTTTGGTGGTGCTGAATTCTCTTAGCTTGTACTTGTCTGTAAAGCTTTTGATTTCTCCATCAAATCTGAATGAGATCCCTGCCGGGTAGAGTAATCTTGGTTGTAGGTTCTTCCCTTTCATCACTTTAAGTATATCCTGCTCCCTTCTGGCCTGTAGAGTTTCCACTAAAAAATCAGCTGATAACCTTATGGGGATTCTTTTGTATGTTATTTTTTGTTTTTCCCTTGCAGCTTTTAATATTTTTTTATTTGAATTTAATTTTTGTTAGTGCAATTAATTTGTGTCTTGGTGTATTTTTCCTAGGGTTTATCCTGTATGGGACTCTCTGTGTTTCCTGGACTTGGGTGACCATTTCCTTTCCCATGTTAGGGAAGTTTTCAACTATAATCTCTTCAAATATTTTCTCAGACCCTTTCTTTTTCTCTTCTTCTTCCGGGACCCCTATAATTCGAATGTTGGTGCATTTAGTGTTATCCCAGAGGTCTCTGAGATTGTCTTCAATTCTTTTCATTCTTTTTTCTTTATTCTGCTCCTCAGCAGTTATTTCTACCATTTTGTCTTCCAGCTCATTTATTCGTTCTTCTGCCTCAGATATTGTTATTGATTCCTTCTAGTGCATTTTTCATTTCAGTTATTGTGTTGTTCATCTGTGTTTGTTCTTTAGTTCTTCTAGATCTTTGTTAAACATTTCTTGTATTTTCTCAATCTGTGCCTCCATTCTATTTCCAAGATTCTGGATCACCTTTACTATCATTACTCTGAATTTTTTTTCAGGTAGATTGCCTATTTCCTCTTCATTTATTTGGTCTTGTAGGTTTTTACCTTGCTCCTTCATCTGTGACATATTTTTGTGCCATCTCATTTTTTTTTTTTTTTAATGTGTGGGATTGTGTTCTTGTCTTACTTGTTGTTTGGCCTGAGGCTTCCAACACTGGAGCTTGTAGGCTATTGCATAGAGCTGGGTCTTGGTGCTGAGATAAGGAACTCTGTGAGACCTCACTCCAGTGGGTATTCCCTGGGGTCTGAGGTTCTCTGTTAGTCTAGTGGTTCGGACTCGGAACTCCCACCGCAGGAGCTTCCCCCTGACCCTGGGCTGGTGAATCAAGGACCCGCAAGCTATGTGGGGTGGCAAGAAAAAAAAAAAAGGAGAAAAATAAAATTAGACGAAGAAACTAACAGATATGTTAGAAAGAATGTAAAAATATAGGTATGTCAACAACCGGAAAGTATATCAGTACCACAATAGTAACAGAGGGAAAGGAAAAAAAAGGGAGGGGGGGGAAGGCCTTGGCTGTGGAGGGCGGGGCCTAAACAAGGGCGAGTTTTGGGCAGTGGCCGGGGCCAATGCTCAGGATCCACAGGGCTGGAAAAGGCCCTGGGTGCTGTTGGGGGTGGATCTTAGGCTCAAGGAACAGAAGGGGCCCAGGCATGCCCCCCACCCCAGTCTCAGAGGGCAGGGGACCTCACCTGGGAGCCCAGCAGGCTCCCTGCATCTGAGTGGGCTGGGCGATGGCCCTCCACTCCTCTCCTGCTCTTCTTGGAAGAGTCCCTCCCACCTGCCTCTTCTGATTTCCCTGGCCTCAGTGGCGCTGATCCTGTCTGGCCTCCACTTCTCCTACCCCTTCGGTCCCCCTATGTCCTACCGGTTCACTTTGGGTTTCCTCCCATCTCCTTGGGGGTCAGAGTTCCCCCACCAGTGGCCATCAGGCACCCTAGTTGTGGGGAGACGCTAACTCCATGTCTTCCCACACCGGCCTCTTGATTCCTCCCCGCCACTGACCTTTTACGATCCTTTCTTCTATGTCTTGCTTTATAAGACTGAGATCATACTGAACTTAATTTTCAATATTTTGTCTTACTTATTAAGTCAATAAAAATTCTATGTGAACAAAATATTTAATGGCAGTCTTTTAGATTTTACTAGCTATATATGGTTCATAAAGTTTACTGTTAAGCTCTGTAAAGTTTATTATTAAAACAAGTTTATTATTGAAGAAATAATGAAAACTTATACTATTTCTTCTCTCACATTCATGGTATCAAAAGTATCAGAAAAAGAAATTATGAAGCAAAGAATCATAAGGCATTTGATGGGATTATGCTTTCTTAGTTCCACAGGCTCCATTTATTTGTTATTTGTAAATGTTTTCCGTGCTAATATGCAGCCGCGGTCACTTTCCTAGACCCAGAACTAGGAAAAAGATTAACTGTTTCTCTCTCTTGCTGAAGGTGGTTGGAGGTAAAGTGAAGAAGCCTGGCAAACGTGGTCGAAAGCCAGCCAAAATTGACTTGAAGGCAAAACTCGAGAGGAGCCGGCAGAGTGCAAGAGAATGCCGGGCCAGAAAAAAACTGAGATATCAGTATTTGGAAGAGTTGGTATCCAGTCGGGAAAGAGCCATTTGTGCCCTCAGAGAGGAACTGGAAATGGTAAGAAAGTCTGTCAATAAACGCATGAAACAATCAACCTAAGCTATATTAAAACATGAAGATACCATTTTTTAGCTATCCAGTTGACGAACGTGGGAAAGCATATTCATCTCTTAGCCAGCACATAGGCAAATAAGCATTTTCATACATTGCTGGTGGGAGTGGAAAGTGACTATTTCTTTAAGGGATTGTTTATGACAGGAAAAAAAATCGAAAATAACCAAAATGTTCAGCAGTAGGGGATTGGTTAAATTATACTACATTCATGTGTTGGACTACATTGCAGCCCATGAAAATCACAATGCACATGTATATTTACTGATGTAGAAAGACACTTACAAGATATTGCTAAATGGAAAAAGCAGTATAACAGTATGTAGTAATATGCATAGTGTGATACCATTTGGCCTGGTTTTGTTCATTCATTCATTCAGACTTTAGGTAGTAGCTGTAGACATATACGAGAGAATAGGTAAAAGGGAATAGAAACCCATTAGTACTGTGAGCTCAGGGGAGGAGGTGACAGTTTGGAAAAGAGAGAGAGAATACTAACGTGATCATTACAAAACTGGGACAGGCTACCCCCAGCTTTTTAGAAGGTAAGAAAATTAAGTCGGGTCATGGAGAGAGTCCAGATGTACACTATTCAGTAGACTTGCTTTTAATACGTTGAATTTGGCTTGTAAATTATTTCTCACCTTCTGCACTGTAAGCCACTGGAGGACATAATCTTTGGACTGATTTATCTTTTATACCCCCAAAGTCCATAGTACACACTCTGGTAGAAAGTAGATGTTTAGTGAATATTTATGAAATAGAGAAAGGAAGTTACAAAATTATTTATTTTAGGAGTAGACATAATAATGTGACAGTCAGCAAAAAGAGATGAATCCTAACGAATGGCACTCCATGGGGAGATATTCTTTCAGCCAGAGGGCCGTTTTTAATCTGAGCACTACTCCCAGCACATCACAAGAAGATTCAGCAGTAGTTTTTCACCCTCTTCTGAAGATAGCAGGCCTCGTCCATGTCCTAGGTTATCAACAGGAGTACAACAGAAGGTGGGATTCCCAGCAGCCAATTTGACCTCTAGTTATGGGAGTTCTTCTGTCTAGGATTTCCACCTGTGGTTGCTGAACTCTGACTAGTAAAATTTTATTTAAATATATTTTACATATTTCAGTACAAGCAGTGGTGCATGGCAATGGACCAAGGGAAAATCCCTTCTGAAATAAAGGCCCTACTCACTGGAGAAGAGCAGAACAAATCTCAGCAGAACTCAAGCAGGCACCTGAAAGCTGGGAAGACAGACGCTAACAGCAATTCCTGTGAGTACAGTACATGGGAGAGTTTATCTGTAGAAGAGTGACTTAAAGGAGGCTTTCTGTTGACCACTTTCCTTGCTGTGTCTTCAAATAAAATAAAATGTTGATGTCATTTGTAATACACCAATAAGCAAGTGAACTGGCGTTAGATTCTAAATACTGAAATGCGTTATACATGGGGTCTATAGAGAGCAACTGATAAATTCATGGAAAAGTTTTAAAGTAGACTCAGTCAATAAGTGAGAGTGTACCAGTCTAGTTATTGTTTTGGCTGCACTGCACGGCTTGCAGGATTTTAGGTCCCGGACCAGGGATTGAACCTGCACCCTCGGCAGTGAAAGCGCCAAGTCCTAACCCCCGGACTGCCAGGGAATTCCCTAGTTACTGTTAATAATAACAATACCTTTGATTTTGATTTACAAAGTATTTTCACTTATGTTTGTCATAATTATTTCCTCCAGTAATTGTGTGAAGTATAATTGTACTTTTTATTTTATAGATGAAGAAATAGCACAGGTGCTGCTTGGTAAGGTGCCCAAGGTCACACAGCTGTAATGGTAGAACCTGTCCTCACCTAGTTCAGGCTCTATCTAGTACAGTAGCCCATCACCTATAAGGATTTTTTTTTAATTAAGGAGAAATTCACATAACATAAAATTAATCATTTTAAAGTCACAATTCAGAGGAATTTAGTACCTTCACAGTGTTGTACAACTACCACCTCCGTCTGGTTAGAAAACATTTTATCACCCCAAAAGAAAACTCCAAATGCATTAGCAGGTTGCTCGCTGTTACCCCCTCCCTCCAGCCCCTGTTAACTATGAATCTGCATTCTGTCTCTATGGATTTACCTCCTCTGCATATTTCGTATAAATGGAATCACACTGTGTGACTTTCTGTGTCTGGCTTCTTTGACCTAGCCTAATGTTTTCAAGGTTCATCCACCTTGTAGCCTGAATCAGTACTTCATTCCATTTTATGACTGCATAATATTCCGTTGTGTATGTGTACCACAACTTGCTATCCATTTATCCACTGATGGATATTTGTTTCTACCTTTCGCTGTTGTGAACAGTGCTGCTATAAACATGCATGTACAAGTATGTATTTGAGTACCTGTTTTCAGTTGTTTTGGGTATATACCTAGAAGTGGAATTGCCGGGTCATATGGTAATTCTATATTTAACTTTTATTTATTTTTTAAAATATTTATTTTTATTTCGGCTATGCCGGGTCTTAGTTGCGGCATGCTGACTTCTTAGTTTCATCATGTATGTGGGATCTAGTTCCCTGACCAGGGATCAAACCCAGGCCCACTGCACTGGGAGCACGGAGTCTTACCCACTCGACCACCAGGGAAGTGCCTGTATTTAACTTTTAGAGGAACCACAAATTGTTTTCCACAGTGGCTGAAATATTTTACATTACCACCACAGTATATGAAGTTTCCCATTTCTCTGTGTCTTGCCAACACTTTTTATTTTCCATTTTTGAAAACTGTAGCCTTCCTAGTGAAGTGGCATCTGATTGTGGTTTTGATTTACATTTCCCTAATGACATTGAGCAACTTTTCATGTGCTTGTTGGCCATCTGTATGTCTTCTTTGAAAAAATGTCTCTTTATGTTCCTTGCCCGTGTTTTAATTGTCTTTCATTATGTTGTTGAATTGTAAGAGTTCTTTATATATTCTGGATTCTAGACCTTTATCAGATATATGATTACACATATTTCTCCCATTCTGTAGGTTTTTTCGCTTTCTTGATAGTGTCCTTTGGCGTACAAAAGACTTTAATTTTGAGGAAGACCATTTTTAATTTTGTTGTTCATGCTTTGGGTACCATATCTAACAATCCATTGCCAAATCAAAGGTCATGAAGATTTGCCCTATGTTGTCTCCTAAGAGTTTTATGGTTTTAGGCCTTATACTTAGATCATTGATCTATTGAGTTAATTTTTCTATATGGTGAGAGATAGAAGTCCAGCTTAATTCTTTTGCATGTGAATATACAGTTGTCTCAGCACCATTTGTTGGAGAGACTGTTAAGGTTTTAGAATGAAGATGCCATATGTTGATTTCTTCATCATTGTGATTGCTTTGGGAGCACTTGAAAATAGTTATAAGGAAATGTTACAAATTTTTTATCTTTTAAAAAATTTTTTATAAAACTGAAGGATTGGCTTTTTATAGCTGTTATTAGATGAGGTAACATTTGCCTTAATCTAAATTCAATTAATGAAAAAAAGCCAAAACAGTTCAGTTTTCTTTCAGTCTGTATTTGAAAATAGCCTTCCCCTAGATACTAAATTAAAAAAAAAAAAGCATGCATTTTAAAACAGATTAACCGAACTTCATTGACTTTAAAAGCATTCTTGAGACTTCCCTGTGCCTGGTGGTGCAGTGGTTAAGAATCCACCTGCCAGTGCAGGGGACACGGGTTCGAGCCCTGGTCCGGCAAGATCCCACATGCCACGGAGCAACTAAGCCCGTGCGCCACAACTACTGAGCCTGCGTGCCACTACTGAAGCCCGCGCACCTGGAGCCCATGCTCCGCAACAAGAGAAGCCACTGCGATGAGTAGCCTGCGTACTGCAAGGAAGAGTAGGCCCCGCTCACCGCAACTAGAGAAAGCCCGCGCATAGCAACGAAGACCCAACGCAGCCCCAAATAAATAAATAAATTTATTAAAAAAAAAAAAAAAAAGCATTCTTACATTGGTAACTTTATTTTTCAGGGTGAAGAGCATATAAAATGATGAGTCAGTGATTGAAGCCAATATTCTGATTCTTATTGGAGGATGAATAGGCAAGATTGTGTACTTCTTGGCTCCATTTACTACCTACTGCTCAGTCATCTCTGTAAATTTGCAATTTCTACCAAAATGTGTGATCATAGATCTCAAAGGATTTTGCTTTAGTTTTCAACACTTAGAAAATTTACAAACATTCAGACCTGTTCTGGTTGGTATTGCCACCCATGGCATTTAACATGTTGCAATGCTTGAAAGTACAGTAGAGAGAATGAGTGAAGATTATATTTTTTGCACCTCAATTCCACATTGCTTTATTGGTTAATTTATATTCTTTCCATGTAATTCATGTAATTGTATGTGTATGTGTGTTTAGGTGTCACTTCCTTTCATGTTTTTGATTGCCCTACAAAGAGAAACCAAATGGGCTGATTACTGACTATAAGTTCTCAGCCTTTATGGACCTAATCTTATTTCTTTATATTTACTTGAGTAATGTTTATTTTCTGCATGAACCGTTTCTCCTGTGAGCCATTCCAGCATAAGCTGTGAATATGTATTAACAAATATATACATTTCTATTTTTATAATCCATAATGATATGCCCGTTTTAAATAATGTACACATTAACAAAATCCATCAAGAAAGCCCTTAAGATAGCCTCTATTTAAAACTTTTGTTGCTGTCTTTTCTAACTGTATTTATACAGGTTTGCTAGGGCCTAATCTGTACTTGGAGAATAATTAGTCAAACTTTATTTTTAAATAAGAAGTAACCTGTTAGGCGTTTCAGTAACATACATCGTCTTGACAACCCATACAGTGTGTTTCTATTGTATGTCTATATATGTATATGGGGAGGGCAGGAGTGAATGTTCACACACATTATTTCGTTGTGTAATCACCTAATTTGGAGAATTTTTCTAAAGAAAATAGGATGAAATTAGCTGCTGAGATGGAGTTTCTGCCTCAAGAGATCTGGAACGAAATGAGGGACACATTGCTGGTGGATCTAGTGGCGGTAGCCATAACCAGAACACTTAGTTTCTTCCCTGATTTGAGTTTCCTTATGAATGTATTCTGAGCCAGAGAGAAACACACTATGGGTGTGCATCCGATTCAGCCCTGGCCATGCCTCCACTCTGGAGTGAAGCACTGAAGCCAGAGTCGCCAGGGGGCCTGGCAGAAGGAGCAGAAGGCAGAGGAGTTCCCTCCAGTTCCCACCAAACTACCTTTGCTTTCTTTCTGGCTACCAAATGGAGTGATGGTTGAGGAGTCACACTCAATATGATACACTCAGATCTGGGAATCTTTTGATGTCCCCACTGGGACACTTTAACACTCTCTCTTCTCTTTCCCATCCTTAAATCAGGAGTTGTGTCCTCTGTTGCTGCTAAATTGTAATTGCTCTTTGCTCTAGTGAAGCAAGCATTTGGCTTCCAAACAATATGTGTTTTGTTACGAGGCAGTTTAAGAGGAGGCATCATAGTCTAGCTTGACTGTGAGGGGGAACATGAGATGGACCACATAGTTTCAGGTGATGAGGTACCTCCCTCCTTCTCTGAGGCCATGCATTTGAATTAAGTGCTTCCCCTAAGCCTGAGTTCCTGAAGATCTCTTGTGCTTAGGTCGCAGACTCAGCTCTCTAGTCTAGTACTGTGTGACAACTAGATATACCACTAGCCCAGTCTGTTGGGCCTCTCTGTGTTTTGGAGGACTGGGGGTTTAAGAGTACTTAATGTCTTTTTAGGATCACAAATATAGATAGATTAAAGATTGTTAATGTTCAGGCCTTCAGAATTTAAGTTTTTTAAATATAGTGTTCAGATTGTAATGGGTATGTTTTTGCCATCTGGTCTACTCAAATGTATATTTTTATTTTGCAAAACAGCCCAAGACTTACTCTACGTTGCTTTGTTCAGTACCTTTTGAATTCCCCAAAAGAGTTGTTTTCAAAACAAACATTCCAAATGAATGTGGCTCTTCAATGGAATGTCCCCATTGTGCTTGAAGTGTTTCTTCTCTGGTTGTGATTTTAAATTTTAGGCTCATTTGAGCTACTCCCCTTCCCTTCGGTATCTTTACAGGAGCAGTGACTTTGTCCTCAGGTAGCCGATGTGTAATTTTGGGTGAAAGTAAATTACAGTTTATTTCAGTTTAATCCTAAACCTATCTATTTGGTATTTTGGAGTAGATCAAACCGAGAGAAAAATTCTTGGTCTTAAAAAGGAATGTTCTGATTGCTTTGGGTATTGTGCTGGTTGCACGCTTTGGCCACTTGAAGCATGTTAATAAACGTCACTGATTAAAACAGCTGGAGCACTTCTTGCCCCATTCCAGTTAAGGAGCAGCATGCTGAAATCCTAGCATCTCTCACTCACCTATAAGGACAACATACCGGCTGAGAGAGAACAGAAGCGGGTGGAAGAGTCAGCGAGCTCAGTCCCCCTTCATCTGTTCTGCTGTTCTCCTTGCTCTCTGAGTACACAGAGTAATATTTCCTTTTTCCTTTTCCCAAAGAAAGGAAGGTAAGGGGGAAAATAAATTTACGTATTTAGACCAGTCATATTCTGTTGTTAATTTAGCATAGATCCGTTGTATATTAGAGCAACTGAGTATAATATGAAATAAGTTTGACTAGATCAAGTTTTAGGATATAGTTGAAGTTCTTAAATTTTTTTCTATTTTATCTAAAATCTTTCTAATGTATCTAAATCAGGATCTTTCATGCTGCAGCAAATTCATATCACTGTTTACCAGCTGACTGACAGTATTTATCAGCATCACCATTTAGCATTTTATTTTATCATCTTTGAATTGGTAGGCTTGATTTGGGTTGTTCCAAAAAGCATAGGTTTAAACTGGACTTAGTTAAAATAAAGGCAAATAAAATTTAAAAATGTAAATGCGATGTTTCACAAGAAATCAGTTGCACATTATCAATTACATTTTTAGTTTTAAAAGAGAGGAAAATTACTACTAAATCACATGGTATTTTGGGGCATTGAAGGAATTTTTCTTTCTCTGAAGAGCATTGTACAATTATATTTTTATGAAAAATAAAATATCTTCACCGGAGCCATTTCAGGTTGTCTGTCTCACAATACTGAAGTATGTCTGTATAAGCATAGTAAAAAGATTATGAGATTTAGGCAGAACTGGTCTTGAATCCATTTTTTGCGTCACCTTGAATTATGTACTCTCTCGGCTTATTTCCTCATATGTAAAGAAGTGGGAGGATAACTTTCCAGAGTAATTGGTAGGCTAAATAGAGTTATGGGAAACTGCTTCTAAAGTAGTAAAGAATTACATTAAATTTTAAATATTCATGTGTGCCTGGGTTTGACTATTAAGATTTAAATCACTAACGATAAATATATGTAATGGTCTGGAATCTAAACATGTAGCGTTGCAGGCCTCATGTTTCTGAAGTCTTTTTAGCTATATCATTATGTCTGTCCCTGGAATGGTGTATAGTTGGGGGCTCTTCTTAGCAATAATAGCCTTCTGTTAACTAGATTAATTTTAAGAAGTTAATGCTCCACCCGGCGGTAATCCTATCACCTGCATAAAGCAGGTGTTCAGGCTGCTAGGTAACCTGGCTCACTCCTCCCTTATCCCATCCATTTTACTTAATTACACAGTATCATGAATCGCAGCGGGACTGCTGTGTGAGGTTGTGCTGAATGTGCATTGCACAAAGGCACCCAGTTGAGGAGGCCTAAAATCGACCTCACGTTCCTTTCAACAAGCCACGTGAGGAGGAAAGCGTGCCTGCCATTGCTCACCAGGTCACACGTGTGGTGCAGGTCTGCCCGGAGAGGAGCCTTTCTTAATCCCTCTACCTGGAGGGTGCCTTTCATAAAACGTGCAAAACGGCAGTGTGCTGCAGCTGGTGTATTGCTGGCCCCAGAGGAAAGCCAATCATGTGCATCTATCCCAGCTCCATGCTGAGTGACATCAGATTGGTAGCTTTTAATCAGCAGTGATGGGAATACTGACACCACAGAAAGCAGTACATGCTACCAATCAGGGATTTCCCTCCCCTGCCAGAGAGTTGGTTTCCAGCCGACCACTGTAAAGGCCTGGTGTAGGCCAGCACGGCCCTGACCCGAGCAGCCACATTTGAGGCCCCACGTATCTGACTGGAGGACACATGGAGCTGGAAGGACTCTTTGTAAGTCTCTAGGAAGTTTGGAGGCATCCATGTCAAATTCAGATTACTTCACAAGACAGATAGATGGTGGTCGTGACTCAGAAACGGTTATGGGTTGCAGAGAACTACCCAGGTGAACTCTAGAAATGACCGGGAGGCAGATCAGCTGAATTCTTAAAGCAAGCCTTGGGGTCAGAGTGGGTACAACTAACTTACCTATTGCTTTGTGACACAGTGCTCCCAACACTTCCGGGCTGGGGGTTGGGCTGCAGCTGGACAGTCAGCTTTGGCTTATAGGCCATTTTGACTCTGCAGTTAGATAAGTATTTGAGCAGGAAAAATCTCCTGAGATCCAACAGAACCCAATTCAATCCTGCCATGCCTCAGTGCCCCTTTCCTGAGAGGCAAACAGTGCCTGACAAGCCCCGAACTTTACAGCCCTGAACCTGGTCAAGTCAGCAGGCTAGAAATGACGACTCCCGTGCCTCCACTAGGTAGCCTTGGATAACCCAGAACCGGCAGGCCAAAAGCCCACACTGAGTTCTGGGTTTTTTCACTTCAGTGGAATGAACACCATGCTTGCCGATACCACAGGAAAAGAAGGTATAGGGTTAATGACAAAAAGTAAATAATAATGCCCCTCAAACCTCAGGCCCCTAAGGAAATGAATTCCAACGACAACCACGTGATCCTGGAAGCAGATGCTACCTCCACTGAACCTTCAGATGAGACCCTGACCCTAACCCTGTGATTGCAGCCTTGTGAATCAGAGGACACAGTTAAGCTGTATCCAGATTCCTGCTCACAGAAGTTAATGAGATTTAAAAAAATGTGGGTTATTATAATCTGTCAAATTTTGGGGTAATATGCAATAATAGATAATACAATTGTTCCATTTTTTTTCCATGTGAAATATAGATTTCATATTCAACTTATAAAAATAAACTAGTTTAAAATATCTTCCAAATAGTAACAAAAAAATAACCATACTCCTTTTTGTCAGATCCCATGTTCACCAAGCAACTTCCAGATTATACTTCCAGATTCCCAATTATTCCAAAATCAGTAAGAATGTGCCCTGAATAAGTCATCTAAGCATTCTGGTCATTGGAAAGGAATATACCCCCTTGAAAATCAATACACTGGCCTCTGGTTAATATACTTCAGTCTCCTGAATAAACGTGAGGGTGACTAGGGAGTGGAGAGTCAACCTTAGTCTGTGGGGTCAGTTCTGGGACAGGTGGAGCCAGGTTGGGATAATACCACTAAGATCACTAGCAGTTTCCTGAGGCCAGGTGATGAATGCCGCTCCACCCAGCCTGCGTGCATCCAGCCTGCGGGTGATCTTAGCTGCCAAAGGGCAAGGTCTCACTTTCACCTTCCACAAGGTGTGACAGCTCATATAAACCAAAAAACGGAAGCAGGTGCTATTGGAGACCTCTACCTAGTCTATGAAATTACATTGAGTTTTAATATGTGGCCTGTTTTAGTTGAGGGTTTCTTTAAACCACAAAACGGATAAATATAGGCAGTTGTTTTTCCCCCTTTGTCCTCCAAACAGTATACTCACATATCTTTTCTTAAAAAAACAAAAAAGCCATAAACCATTTAGCTGGTTTAAATTTTTCTTCAAAATAAACTTAAAAGTTCCTTACAATATTTGTGTTTGTAAGTTTGAGTCTGGATTTTCATTGTGTTTCTTTGCCCTTTCACTCCAATTATCAAATAGCTTTAAAAACAACAACAAAAAAACCCTATCTTGACTTCAATTTCACTTTTCACTTAGATTTGTTTCGAGTTACAGTACAGTTCACTTATGGTTCAACTGAAAATATATAATGGTTACATGTTTTTAGCTACAGAGTTGCCTACAATTAACTATGGCCAAGAGTGACTTAAGTCCCGTTTCACTGGTTTTTCTTACACTTGACTAGAATGGTTAAATTAACAGTTGAAACTGATTTTCCTCCATCAGTTCTTTCTATTGTATATGTGGAAATCGCAGCACAAGAATGACGGTAAAAGGCTGCATTCTCAAGTGTTTTCATATCCTGAATTTAGACCATGCCTTCTTAATAGTTCAAAAAAATCCCCTTTGGAGTGAGTGAATAGAAGTAGCTCTGTCACCTACCTCCCATTCAAGTTCCTGTTCCCAGTTGTTCCTTCTCCCTGAGTCTGCAAAATATTAGCAGAACTAAAAAAGAAAGAAAAGAAAAAGAAAAAAAGCTAAAGAAGGAAAACGATGCCACAATTTGAGAATGGTATTAAAAAACTGTTTCTACTAGTTAGCACATAGCAATAAGTGCTGAAGAACTTGAAAATGGAAAAATCCATTGGGTTAGCAACAACTAAATTTAAATAACAACAATAGAAAACCTTTTTTGAGGGCTTCCCATGTGTTTGGTAATGCACTGAATGAATGATTTACATGGGTCTGGGCTCATTTTATTACAATCCTATAAGGTGGTATGATAGTCTTACATGTCAGCTACGGTAGAATACCAAGTTATTTAATCAACACTAACCTAGGTGTTGCAGTGAAGGTATTTTGTAGATGTGCTCAACAGCTACAACCGACTTTAAGATTATCCTTGATAATATGGTTATCTAATCGGTTAAAGGCCTTAAGAGCAAACAAAAATGAGGTTTCCCTAAGAAGAAATTCTGCCTCAAGACTGTAGCATCAAATCCTGCCTGCTGGCCTGCCCTAGATTTCAAACTGAAGACTGCAGCAACTACCTGAGTTTCCAGCCTGCCACCCACCCTACAAACTTCAAGCTGGCTGACCCCCTTAATTGCAAGAACCAATTGCTTAAAATATTGTCATCTATCCACCTATCTATCTGTCATCTATGTCCTATTGGTTCTGGTCTTCCTGGAGAACCCTAATACAGGTAGGCATGTTATCTTCCCCATTTTAAAAATAGAGAAGCTGGGGTTTGAGTATTTGCTGGTTAAACAGGTGGTAAGCAGAACCTGAGCTTCAACGCAGAAGTTGATTCCAGAGCCCTTGAAAACAACCATCACACTTGTGATTAAGGAAAACTCTGTTGGCTGGAGGTGTCACTGGAGTCTTGTGCCCAGTTTTCACTAATTTTTAAAGGGTCATTCAAGTATATATAGTCCATCTACCTGGAGAATCAGCCCAGGATTTTAATGAGTCTGGACTGATGAACAGAGTAGAAATCCATTCTTCTCAGACACTGTGCTCCCCACCCTCTCCACCATAAAACTCTTCACAGATCTTTTGCTGCCCAGGTATCCATGCCATGGTCCGCGTAGCACATTCAGGGTCCTACTAGCAGAATATAGTCTCCTAAAACAGAGCACTCTTTGGAAGGTATTGCAGGGAAGCAGAATAGAGAGGATTCATTCAGAATTCCCTTATCGTTTTCATTCCCCATATCTAGCTGTTGTGGGCAAACAGCTGAAACTGCTATATTGACTGTCTGCCACTGAAAACCAGATGATGTTCTCAAGCTTCCAGACCTGCATCATAACCCTGAAACCAGATACACACACCCAGCATTCTTCAAATTATAGGTGAATCCTAATTGTATAACTCAATTAGGGTTGATGAGAGTTTTTAAAAAGCAACACTTTTAAAGAGGCTTCTTCTAGTAAGTCAGACAGAAAAAGACAAATATCATGATATCACTTACATGTGGAATCTAAAAAAATGATACAAATGAACTCATTTACAAAACAGAAACAGACTCACAGACATAGAAAACAAATTTATGCTTACCAAAGGGGAAATGTGGGGAGGGATAAAGTAGGAGTTTGGGATTAGCAGATGCAAACTACTATATACAAAATAGATAAACAACAAGGTCCTACTGTATAGCACAGGGAACTCTACTCAGTATTCTGTAATAACCTATATGGGAAAAGAATCTGAAAAAGAATAGATATTTGTATATGTATA